GTTGGCGCCGCCTTCAGCAACGTTCGGACCACATTGACCGATGGCTTGGCGGTCGGACGTGCAGCGAAGCGATTTTTCAGTTTTGTTATCGCAGAACATGCCGGGGTGCTCGATGGGGCTTTTGTCCGAGCACGGCTTCTCGAGGAAGTCACAGCCCGCGCCTCTGCCCCACGCCATCGGCTCCTCCATCCCCCACACGGCCTTGTAGTAGCCGAGGTCCTCAAGTATTGCCATCGTCAGCGCCGTGTAGTAGCCGGCGGTGTGCCCACCAGCAACGCTCATCAGCTCGTCCTTCGCGTTGCGCAACGACAGGTGGCAGCCCTCCGGATGATCGCAGTCCTGCAGCTCCATGCCCTGCAGCTTGTCGCAGCCGTAGTGTGCCTTCGTTTTATTCAGCGTAACGGGTGAATTCACCACCGTCACAGGAGAGCTGCCGCCGCGCACAGCAGAGACAGTCGTCAGCATGCTGTGCTTCTTCATCTGCTTCGCGACGAAGCCAAGGGCATAGACGATTGCATGCGCAGCCGTGCGAGAGGCGTGCATGACGGTCAAAGGTTGAAAAAGAGGCAGATGTAGCGCACCGGCAATTGGACGACCATCCGTCCCAAACGCACACGGAAGAGCCCACGCCCCGTAACTCGTCCCGGCAGCCACGTAGAGCACCATGTCCGCATTCTCAACCCCCGCATCGTGGTGCCCCTCGGGGACCTTGAAGTACTGGCAAAACCCATGCTCCGATGTGAACTTGGGCACCTTCAGCGGGGTCTTCAGGCGTCGAACGAGCAGACGCTCCGCGTGCAGCTTGACAGCCACGGGGATGACCTCGTTCACCAAGGTTTTGTTCCAGTCCGCGGTCACAACTTCCTCCTTCGTGCACTTCAACTCTTGCCCCTTGAAGTTGGGTTTCTTTTCTCCTTCTTTGGTGCAGTATTTACTTGCGTCGCTCAGATCCTCCATCGACACCACGATGCGGATGGGCTCCCACTCCTTGCCCTCGCCCGCTGCGGCGACGGTGTACGCCTGCGCCGCGCCCTCCCCCTTGCGCGGCACCTCACGCACCATCGCGGTCGGCAGCGGGCCGCTCTTCATCGCCGCCTCGTCGAGCGCACGGCGGTGTGCAGCGGCGAGGCACCCAACGACGCAACACGTCGTCGCGAGGAGGAGCAGCGGCAGTGCGGCGCGGAGTGGACGGCGCATGGCGTGAGGCGTGAGGGAAGTGTCTGTGTTGTTTTGTCGTGGATGGCGGCAGTCGCAAATGTCTTGTCTGCGGGGGGCGGGAAGAAGAGGCGGGAAAGAAGGTGGGCAAGGCAGCCGGAGAGGCCGCGGGAGGGGGAGGGCGAGAGCGAGGCCGCAAGCCACTGCGACGGTCAGCGCACCGCCGCCTCTGCGCACCGCTCTCGACCCCGACGCGCAAGCAGGGCCCGGCAAGCAGCAAGAACTGATCGAACCCGGCCGATTGAAGCCGAAGCGAAGTTGCCCCCGTTACGGAAATGGTCCTTCCCACACACACACACACACGCAAATGCGTGCGTCACCCTTTTCCTGAATGCGGGGCCGCAGCAGACAGACACAGTGGACGAACCCCCTCGTCATTGCGCTCACACCCCCGCAGCAAAACACACGCGAAAAAGCAAAGAGACGGGGATAATTCAGGTGCTCCCTCCATCCACGTTTACCCCCGCACAGGAGCCCCCTGCTGCCGCGCTGCTGCCAAGTCTCCTCTAACAACAGACAAGAACAGGACCCCAAAAAAACGAAAATAAAAACATTCAACAACTACACGGTTCATCCCTCGGTGCAAACGCTGGCAGTCGGCACCAACGCAGGACCGAAGAAGAGGACAACATCCGTGTGGCGCGTCCACCGACTGAAGGGAGCTAATGCAGACACCTCCATGCCCAAAGTATACGATGCACAGGGCACGGGTTTCGAGTTCTGCAACGCGCAAGGCGCGTCGAAGCCCCTGTCCACGCTGTGCTCGCGGCGGTTTCGTGGCAAGGCATCAGCACCTTCCTCCGCACCCTTGCGTGTCTCCGTTGTAGTTGTTGGCCGCTCGCACGGATCGCGCGTCGCCGTCGCCGTCGCATCGCTCCCGCGTGGTGCCGCGTTGCTGCTCGGCCGTGCACCCCCGTTATGCCCTTTTATATCTCTGCTCAATCTTCTTTACTACGAGACGCCCGTACGGATTGAAGTTCGCCACAGGCGGGAAAGCCCCGCACCGGGCGCGGCGCAGGCACCCCCGCACCAGGGGCGTTGCGGCACCGCCACCGTAGCGACGGGCCGTGGCGCCCAACGCCGCTGGGCAACACCGCGACCGGCAGAGCGGAGCCGCCGCTTGCCGGTGCGTCCATCGAGCGCAGAGCGGGCGGCGCTCCCACGGGGAGCAACAAAGTGAGCTGGGAAGGCAGAGCAACAGAAGCCCAAAAACC